TGGGGAATGGGGGAAAGTCCTGTGGAAGCCACCAGCCAGCAAACGTTAATGAGGCCTGAGCCCACCCTCCACTCAAGCAGAGCTATGTCTATATAAATAGCTCACTTCCCCCAGAGCATTTTTTTATGACTGTGCCCATAGGGCCAGACTAGGAACCCGGGAGATAGCAGAATCCCTGGGGCTCCCAGCCTGGAGAAGATTGCCAGGGACCTAAAGAAAATGTCCCTAATCCAACCTGGGGATTTTAAAGCTTACCAGGAAGACATTTATGATGTGATGAATTGAATAAAAGGCCCTCTACGGCAGTTACGTCTTGACCTCAAGGGTGGGGCATGGGGTTTCCCGGGGAGGGAGGGGTGGCGGTCGGGGAGCCTAACAGGAAGTACATCTAGCTCGGGTCCTTCCAACAATCGCGGCTACCTTAATCTCTGCCTGTTTGGCTACTATATGCTTGGGCCATCAGCAACGCCCTGTACCGTCCCCTGCGGTTTATCTGCTCGGAGACAGCGAAAGTTTGAGTTCAGAATGTCCCTCGCCGCATGAAGGCTTGATTTCCCGGCAGACCTTGTTTGTGGTAAATTAGATGGCAAGCTATTGGCTTTTCTGGTTATGTGAGCGGGCGCGCCTGCGCAGTGCACATGTTTTGTTCGTCACGCCCAGCTTCCATTTCCCTTTATGCTTCGCGGTGCCGCGAGGTGTGATGGGTAGTGTAGTCCGGACTGCCCTTCGGGCTGGTCCAGCAACCCGCAGGATGTCGGAGGTGCGGCTGCCACCGTTGCGAGCCTTAGACGACTTTATTTTGGGGTCAGCGCGTCTGGCGGCTCCGGATCTACGCGACCCTCAGCGATGGTGCCACCGTGTCATCAACAATCTCCTCTACTACCAAACCAACTACCTTCTCTGCTTTGGCATCGGCCTCGCTCTGGCTGGGTGAGGGAGGGAGGTAGCGATTGATTAGCTGGGGACGCCAGCAGGGCATGGAGGGTGGTCACGGGTCCAGAAATGGGAACCTAAGAAAAATGCTAGGCCAAGAAGGGTGAGTTTGAAAGGAATAGAGGGTCCGAGGGACTTGAAAGAGACAGATCTTGGTTTGTTGGAAGTGCCGGCGTTGGGGTGGCAGAGGGAAGGGGAGGGAGAGGAGGAGATTGTGGGAAGGGAAACCTGGGTAGGTTGGAGAAAAGTGTGAGACTGAAGGGGAAAGTGAGCTGGGAGGTTGGATCTCGATGTAAGATCCTGAGAATACCTAGGAGATGAGGTGATCTGACCCTAATCTTAGGGTCAGATTAAGGCAGCTATGGAGAATTGAGGACAGTGACAGGGATGAAAATGTAAATTTGAAGGGCTTTGGAAGGTGGGGTTGTGGAGAATCTGGTGTTAGAGGGAAGATGGGCTATGATTGAACATGCTTGGAGCAGGTTCCTTTTGGGGAACTTGGACCCAGAGGAATGACCTGGGTTGAGAAGCCTAAGACCAGAGATAGATGAAGGATCTGTAGGAGGCACCATGGGCAGGGCTGGAAGAGTGGAATGGAAGCCTGGTGCCGGTGGCACATACCTGTAATTCTATCTCCTCAGGAGGCTGAGATCTGGGGATCACAATTCAAAGCCTGGGCAGGAAAGTGAGACTCATCTCCCATTAACCACCAAAAAACCAGTAATAGAGCTGCCACTCAAGTGATAGAGCACTAGTCTTGAGCAAAAGAAGCTCAGGAACAGCGTCCAGGACCTAAGTTGAAGCCTCAGGACCAGCATACACTAAGAAAAAAAAAGAGGATGGAAAGCCTAGAGGGGGAGCTTAGAAACTATGCAAGGGAGGGAGGAATGTGCCTGGACCTGGGAGGTGGGAAATATGTGTTAACTGAAGGCCTGGCTGAGGGATCTGTAGGAGTTTGGCCCAAGTGGGGGACATTGGAATAAGGAGAGGATACTGGAGGAGTCCTGCTCATATAGAATAGGAAGAAAAAAACAGCCTCAGGAAGCTCAGAGCTGAGGGTCGTGGTTCAAAGCCAGCCTGGGCTGACTGAGTCATAAGACTCCTATCTCGGGCTGGGATGTAGCTCAGTGGCAAAGCGCTTGCCTAGAAAGTGCAACATCCTGGGTTCAAGCCCCAGTACCAAAAAAGAAAAGACAAAAAAAAAGACTCCTATCTCAAATGACTCAGGAAAAGCCAGAAGTGGAACTGTTTGCTTAAGTGGTAGAGCACTAGCCTTGCGCCAAAGAAGCTCAGGGACAGTGCCCAGGCCCTGAGTTCAAGCCCCAGGACTGGCATTAAAAAAAAAAAAAGGGAAAAGAGAAGTATTGGGAGCCTACAATGTTTAAGTGGGATGAGAGGACCTGGGATAGAGACCTCAGGAAGATGGAATTATAGGACTGGTATGGAAGAAATGAGAGTCCATATAAACCACTGGAGGATAGGGCCTGTCCTTGGCAAGGGTGGGTGAGAATTTGCCAGGCTGGAGGATCCAGAGACAAGGTTCCAAAATTCTTGGGGCCCAGGATCTGCTGGATGGTGAGGCTAGCTTCGTTCCTTTGTTCCCACAGGTACTTGCGTCCTCTGTACACACTCCTGAGTGCGCTGATAATCCTTGTGTCTCTGGGTGTGCTGGTGTGGGCTGCTGAGACCCGCATTGCCGTGCGCCGCTGCCGTCGCAGTCACCCAGCCGGCTGCCTGGCTGCAGTGCTTGCTGTAGGCTTCCTTGTTCTCTCGGCTGTAGGAGGCGCTTGCACCTTCCTGCTCAGCATCGCCGGGCCAGTGCTTCGTGAGTCTCTACTACTTAATAGTTGGATAAATGGTCAGCACAAGTTTCAAGAAGCTAGGCTCACCCTATGCTGGGGTTCCTGAGCTGAGAGGGAGGTTGGAAACCCAGGAGCACAAGCAAGCCTCCCTTAAAAGTGTCTTCTTAGGCTTCACTCCCTCTTTCTGGGGACACTCCTATTATTACCAGCTTTTCAGATCTAGTGTTATGTGCCTTTAAACTGGCCTAGGCTATTGGTCATCTTTCCTGACCATGTCCCATTTGCAGAACAAATTACTGGGTCACACTCTCAGGACTGGTATCCTGGGCACTCACCACTCTTTTGACCTATCTTTACACCAATTCCTTTTTGTGGGCCCCCAACTAGCAGCAAGGTAAGGCTCCATTCCACTGATCCTACTTCTCTTGATATTGCCCACAGTGATCCTGGTGCATGCCTCTCTGCGCCTGCGCAACCTTAAAAACAAGATTGAGAACAAGATTGAAAGCATTGGTCTCAAGCGGACACCAATGGGATTGCTACTTGAGGCGTTGGGACAAGAGCAGGAGGCTGGATCCTAGGTGCCTGGTGTCTGGATCCAGGAACTGAGCAGCTCCCACCCCCCAACCCATATCCGAAACTGAGCCCTTTCCCATTCTTTAAAATAGGAGCCTAGAGCCCCTTGTTAGTTAGAAAACAGGACATCCCACTCCAAAACAAAGATGTCCTTCATACCCAAACCCCTATTACCTAGGGACCAGAGTCTTCCCCAACCCTGAATTTGTGACCCAGAGCTACGTATATCCAGCTCCCAAATTAGTTTGAGATTAGAGTATCCATGGCAAATCACAAATGGTGAAAACAGTGATACTCCCTTAACCAAATCTGGGACTCTAATTAGTCTTCCATGTTTAACCCCAAAGCTGAAGCCCAAGCAGGGCATTCTCAAATCTTAAACCTGGACTAAGGCTTTTCCAGACCCTACCCCAGTTTAGAACCCAAGTGAACATAACAGAATCTTAAACCCAAGTCCCAAGTGTCCTCAGCTGGGTGAACTGAGGTATCCTGACCTTGTTGAACCCTTGGTCCCAGGTGACCCCTAAACCTCATCAGTCCTAGAAGCCTTCCTCTATCTCTGCTTAGAGATTTTGCTCTTTCTTCCTGTGTTCCACAATGTCTAGGACCAAGGGCCAGGGATAGCCCCAGCTGGGAATGGGGCACATTTATCAGTGTTGCTGCAACAATAAAGTGTTGCATTTCTTCAGCCAGTTTGGCCTCTGTGGTGAAGTCATTGCACCTTTCAAAGATCAGTAGCCTGCTTTTCAGTTCTGCTAGATTATACATGACTGGGTTCTGCCAAGTGTATAGACCATTAATCAAACCTGTTACCTCTGGGTCAGCATTGAAACACAGGAAGAGGGCTGGAGGTATAGCTCAGTGGTAAATCACTTGTCTAGCAGGCTCTGAGTTCAATCTCTGGCACTAATGAATACGCAATTTTTTTAAACACACAGAGATTAAACAGGACAGAGTATGTACAGTCAGTTGGATACTAAAAAGAAGAAAAAATTGTGCCAGCAGTAGGGCCTGAATTCAGGTCCTGAGCACTGTCTCTTAGCTTTATTCCCCTCAAGTCTAGTGGACTATCACTTGAGCCACAGCGGTTTATGGCTTTTTGTGGTTAATTGGGGTAAGAGTCTCATAGTCATACTTTCCTTATCAGGCCAGCTTCAATCCTTGATCCTCAGATCTTAGCTTTTTCAAGTAGCTAGTGTTACAGGCATAAGCTACAAGAGCCGGACTAAAAAAAAAAAAATAGCAATACTGGAGTTTGAATCCAGGCTTCATGCTTGCTAGGAAGGTGCTCTACCACATGAGCCACACCTCCAATCCTAAATTATTGAGAGTTCTTGTTTGAAGTGAGCTAGGAATCTGAGTGCAGTCAAACAAAGAAGTTATCTCACACCACAAAATAGCATCAAAACAGAGGACGCTGGCTGGGAATGTGGCTTAGTGGTCAAGTGCTTGCCTAGCATGTATGAAGCCTTGGGTTTGATTCCTTAGTACCACATAAAACAGAAAAATCCAGAAGTGGTACTGTGGCTTAAGTGGTAGAGTGCTAGCCTTGAGCAAAAGAAGTTCAAGGACAGTAACCCAGGCCCTGAGTTCAAGCCCGCCCTAGGACTGGCAAAAAAAAATGTATTATCTAGATTTAACTAGAGGTGTGGGCCCCAAAGCAAAGCAGATAAAGAAGCAACACAAGGGTTCAGTTTACACATTTATTATAGAAATCCCCTTCCAGTGTGGGTAGTATCTTGGGCCCAGATCCATTGGTACAAAAAGAAAAGTTAACATCAGGTAAAGGGGGTAGGGGAAATCCCCCCCCACCCCAGCTCCAGAAACTCATAGACAGGTATCATAGAAAACACACCTTATGTGAATTTGTTTAAAAAGTAGTAAATGGAAGGAAAGCCAAGGAAGATGTGGTGTGACCTGTGGCCCATGGCCACATGTCGTCTGAGGATTTTATTGGCATCTACCAGTTGCCAGGTTAAACCACCACAGCATCCCAGGATGCAACATAGTCAATGGCTCTATCCTTCTGCCAACCTCCTGTGTGTGGGGGGGGGGGGGAGGTGTCTCCTGATTGCAGATGATCAGCACAGAAGCTATGGCTACAGACAGGAACAGGGGCTCCTTCAGACATTCCCCATCCAGATTCTATCATTCTACATATGGGCAGAGAGCCCACCTGCACAAGAACTGCCCTGGTAGGGGATAACAGGGAGTTCTAGTCACACCAGAGTCTCTTGGCTACCCTAAACAGGGCCCTGAGACCCTATATGGTCCCTTTTGTTGAAGGTGGGGTTCCTAAAAGGAAGCCTGGGCATGGGGAGAGAAGTGAACCCAACCATGACAAACTCACAGTTTCCCTTTTTTATAAAACGCCTAGTGTTGGGTGAAGACAGTGAATACTAAATCACAACTGTAAACAGAAATGGAAAAAGGGGCTTAGAGTCCCCATATCATCTCCCCTCTTTGAAGCTAGCTGAGGCCCCTCCAGTCCCCAGAACAGTGTAAAGGGAGAAACAGGTTTATCAGACACCTTCCTAGTCCCATGGGGAGCCAGGGGCCATGGAAGATCAGGTGGATGATCCCCAGGACTGAGAGCAACCACATCCTAGGGCTCAGCGAGGTTGGCTGTATGCTCCCCAGCCTGTAGTCTTGCCCAGGCCAACAAGGGGCATATCAGGAGAGGGTCAGACCAATGTCCCTGGGGTCTGGGGGTCAGAACTGGAAGACTGCTCCCCCTCTAGCGTCAGGTCACTTAAACGAGCGCTCAGCTCCGAGGGGTACAGGAAGTCCGTGTAGTATCTTTAGAAGGGACAGCAGGAATCCGGAGGACAGGTGAGGAAGACGGAGAAGAGAGTAGAAAAGACAGACAAGACACAGAAAGAGAAAGGAAGAGGCTCGTTAAAGAGGTGGAGGTAGGCACGGCACACCATAGCACCTTCAGGCTCTCAAGCATGGGGCATGGAGTAAAGAAGAGAAAAAGCAAGGGGCACCTATGTCCCTTCCTCCCAGCACCCTGGCCGCAAGGCTCATTACCATGCACCGGTTAAAATATTCAGAATCCTTCTATAGCTTAAGAAAGAACTGCTACCAGTACCCAAGATCCCCCTCCATTGGGATCCCAAGGACTAATTCAGGTCATGCCTGGTACAGTGCTTCTGTACCAAGACTGCAGCTAGTTTCCTTGTGGTCCCAGTCATCACCATGACTAGCTACTCCCTAATCTAGATAGCTTTGCCATCTGCCTCAAGGAACCCCTACCCATCAATAAAAAGCACCCCCATACCTGCCGGAGACAGGGGGCGCCGTGAAACTCCTCGAGTGGGGGAGGGGCGCCTGGCTGGGGGCCCCATACAGTGCCTGGCCCACCTCATAGCAGCGGGCATGGAGGAAAGGTGGGTGTGGCAGGCCCACGTGTGGAAGCACAGGCCTGCGCTGAGGCCCCACGGCCAGTCCCGAGTTCCGGATGTACCAGTCCCGCAGCCCCTCCAGGGCCAGGTTCTTGTGGCCGCTGCGCTCACCAGCCGGGGGGATCCGAGTGGGTGGGGGCATCCACAGCAGAGGGTTTGGATGCACCTCTGGGCCCTCGGCAGCTTCTGAGGGCAGGCCACAGGGCTTGGTACGGGTGACACGGGTGTGGGGGTCCTTGCTGCGGAGGAGGGGGCTGCTGCCGTCAGGTGCATACATGGGTGGTGGGCCGGGGAGCATGGCAAGGAGCCCGTCTCGGCGGGAGAGGGGTCCTGGGACCTCGGCTGCAGTTAGCAGCTCCCCCCAGCCTGCCCCGCTGCCACCGCGGGGCAGGCCCCGGTCCAAGGAATAGTCCAAAAGGAAGTCCCCACATACAGGTGGGAGCCGGGGGACCCCGCGGGAGGCAGGGGCAGCTGAGCTAGGCCTGGCAGCCCGGGGAGGGTCTGGGGGGCCAGCTGTGCGGGAAGAAAAGGCAGGGGTTGGTTGGGGGCGCTCATACAGCACCTCACTGCTCTTGCAGACCGGTGGGCCAGCAGTAGGGGGAGCCAGAGGGGCAGGCGGAGAGCCAGCTCCCCCCGCTGTTGCCCGGTCCACCAGCAAGGCCTCTGAGCTGTTACTGCGACGGGTGCGAGCTGCGAAGACGGTGGCGCGATCTGAGGCAGGGTCGGCCCGAGGAAAGCCCATCTGTGAATCTTGACTGCCTGACCACTGGCGAGAATGGAGACCTTCGGGTCTGAGGCACAGAAGGGAGGTGGGTAACAGGCATAGGGTCAGAATATCACAGATGGTACAAGTGCCCTCCTCATTGCATCTCTGAGCCTCTGCTTGCAACATCTCTAAACTGGGCCCATGATTAAATGTTGCATGCATGAATATAAGTGTTGAATGGTGGTGCCTCATAGGCAGCTGAGATTTGATCCTAGACTGGAAGGCCCTGGGTGTGGAAATATATGGAAAATGGGGCTGCTGGCTCAGAAAGACATATAGATACATGTGAGCCCATGAACAAAGAGCAAATGCACCTGGCCCCTCAGCTCCTGCTAAGACCCTTCTCTGGGCTCCTCCCTGAGTCAGGCCTGGAATTCAACACCTGCTTCCATACAGTTCCATTCAGAATATGAACCACCCCCAATATCCTACCAGTCACCGTGCACAAAATATGGGCCCCAAAAAGTCAGAAATTTTGTTTTATTTACAGCCTGGAATAATTAGGCAATTAACTAGTATTTAAGAAATGGTATATAGTAGTTAAAAGTATCGACTCTGGTGCAGGGGTGGGGAACTTTTTCTCTTTTTCGCCAAGGGCCCTTTGGACATTTATAGCATCATTCACTGGCCATACAAAATGATCAATACAGGAAGATGACTGGAGCAGGCAGCTAGAAGCATATGTGACTTTTCTGTCAGTGCTAAATGATTTTGTGGGCCTTATACAGTCCACTAACCAGATCCCCTCACCCCTTATCATCTTGAGTCAAAAATTATCTTGGTTCTAATACCAGTACTCCAATCTACTCACAAGCTAATCTTTCTACACCTCAGTCTGCCCATCTATAAAAAGAAAGTGACAACACCACCCCCTAAGAGGGCTCTTGTGATGGTTAAATTAGTGAATATCATGGAAAGCACTGATTACTAGAAGACAGTAGGCACTCAGTACACTTTACTCAAAACTTCTGTCTCTATCTTTCAAGGGCAGATGTTATGCTGTTTCACAAATGAAGGGTCAAAGATTCAGAGGAGGGAAATACTTGTCTAAAGATACAGAAAGCAGACACAGAAGCTTTCATGCTTCTGTCCCAATTTCCACCCTCTTTTCCACTAAGGCAACTTCTATTCACCTTTCAAAGCCCAGATGTTCATGTCCCACACCTTTCAGAAATTTTGCTTCAACACTTCCAGTTAGAACTAATGGTTCCCTCCTGATCCTCAGGCCCACCCTCAATGTCCCCTTACTTGCAGAGCTGGGGGCCAGTGCCCCGGGTGAGGACAGGGGTGGCAGGCACACTTCGCCCCTCAAAACTGGAGGCACTCCTGGGCAGCGAGCGTGTGGGGCTAGACAGAGATGAGCAGGCCCAGGTCGGGGCCCAGGTTAGAGATTACACCCACCAGCAGGCCCACCTGCCATCCCAGGCTCAGGATCCCATTCCTGCTCCTGGGGAAGAGGGGAAGGGACTCCCCTTTACCTGGTGGGGCTGGCCACAGAGTTGCGACGACTCTTCAGATCTCCATAAATATCTGATGGGGGTGGTTTCCATGGGGCTCGTCGCTCAGGACTCCCCCCAGACACTGCCCGAAGCTGGTCCCAAGCCTTTGGTGGTGAGGGGCGCTCAGACAGAGAGAAGCAGCCACGAGGCTCCTCTGGGTGGAAGAGAAAGAGTGGGGGTAGAATTCAATGATGGGTCCCAGGTTGGGGCAAAGCAAAGGGGTGGAGCTAGGAGAGCAGGGAAGGGGTGAGTGGATTAAACAGGCTAAGGAATGAAAAGGGCAAAAAGGGAGGGGAGGGGCTTATAAGTAAGTTCTGGAGCTAAGGAGACAAGGGTGGGGTGAAATTAAAAAAAGAGAGAGAGCCGGGCGCCGGTGGCTCACGCCTGTAATCCTAGCTACTCAGGAGGCTGAGATCTGAGGATCGAGGTTCAAAGCCAGCCCAGGCAGGAGAGACCGTGAGACTCCTATCTCCAATAAACCACCAGAAAACCGGAAGTGGCGCTGTAGCTCAAGTGGTAGAGCGCTCGCCTTGAGCTGAAGAACTGAGGGACAGCGCCCAGGCCCAGAGTTCAAGCCCCACGACCGACAAAAAAAAAAAAAAAAAGAGAGAGATCCGTAGAAAGATGGGCCATGGCTAAGAAGGAGGAGAGGCTGACCACCACTAGATGTTCTAAGGGGACACAGAAGGGGGCTGGTGGCAATTTAGGATACAGGGTCCTCACCGTTATCATGGCTGGCCCCAGATTCTGAGAGGGAGCTGCTCTCTGAGTGCAGAAGGACATCTTCTACAGGTGAGAAGGGAGAATCATCTATCACTCCAAAGCCCAGGACCAGCCACCATCCCCTGTATCAAAGGATGGGCTCCTCTGCGCAGTCTGTCTTCTGTCTCCTCACCCTCTACACTCCTCAAGAACCCACCTTTAAGTTGGGCATCAATGGCTCATGCCTGTATCCTAGCTACTCAGAAAGCTAAGATCTGAGGATCAAGGTTCAAAGCCAGCCAGAGCACCAAAAGTCTGTGAGACTCTATTCTCCAATTAACCACCAAACAGACTGAAGTAGAGCAATGATACAAATGATAGCATGCTAGCCTTGAGCAAAAAAAAAAAAAAAAGGAAAGCCCCAGGACCAGTGCAACACACACACACACACACACACACACACACACACACACACACACACACACACACACACACACACACACACACACACACACACACACACACACACACACACACACACACACACACACCTTTACCTGAATGCAAGGCTGCCACAGGTTTGAGTCTTTACCTTCCAGATTCCTACTGATACTGATCAGGCCACCCTTGTCCTTCGGCTGCTTTGTCACACCTCTCTTTATTGGGTGAGTCCCCTAAGGTCTGCCTTCTTCTGGGATGGCTGCTCAACCATCCACCCCTCCACCTCTATCAGCCAGAGTCCACTCCCTACACATTGCCCCACTGCTGCTGCTGCACAGGGGAATGGCTCACCTTGGCTGAGCTGAGCAAGGCGCGTACCCAGGCAGACTCCCTGAGCCGTGATGAGTGCTCCAGTGGACATTGGCAGTGGCTGGGGAGGGAGCAGTGGGAGGCCAAGGCGAACCCGGAGGTCCCCAAGCTGTTCCTCCAGTTCATGCAGCCTCCGAAGTGCATCTGCCTGTACCTGGCGTCGTCGCCGCCTCTGCTCAGCACTCAGTTCAGGGGCGAGGGCCAGGCGGCGGGCAGCAGCAGCGATCTGCTGTTGTACGGACACCTCACGCTCCAGAGCCTCAAGAGCCAGCTCCTGCACACCCCAAAAGAGGTAGAAAGGACCAAATGTATAGGAGTTAGACAATAAAGGGGCATGCTCTGCCTGGGGCACAGGCCTATTTGCCTAAGGATGGAGTTTATTCATTCTTTCAAGCAGGGCTTTTTTTTTCATTGTGCTGGGCTGGAGCTTGAACTTAGGTGCTTGAACTAGGCTATCCCTGGGGTTTTTCATTCAAGGATAGAGCTTTACCACTTGCCACAGCTCCACTTCCAGCTTCTTGGTGGTTAATTGGAGATGAGAGTCTCATGAACTTTCCTGCCCATGCTGGCTTGGAACTGTGATCCTCATATCTCAGCCTCCCAAGTAGCTAGGATTACAAGTGGGAGCCACCAGCTCCTGGCCGCAGCAGGGCCTTGCTTTCTTTTCTTTTCTTTTGCCAGTCTTGGGGCTTGAACTCAGGACCTGGACACTGTCCCTGAGCTTTTTTTGCTCAAAGCTGGCACTCTACCACTTGAGCCACAGTGCCACTTATGGCTTTTTCTGTTTATGTGGTACTGAGGAATGGAAACCAGGGCTTCATGTATGCTAGGCAAGCAATCTACCAATAAGCCACATTCCCAGCCCTCTTTTCTTTTTTTTCTTTCATTTTTTTTGTCAGTCATGGGCTTGAACTAAGGGCCTGGGAACTTTCCCTTTGCTCAAGGATAAGCACCCTACCACTTTGGTGGTTAACTGGAGATAAGAGTCTCACAGTTGAGTGCCAGTGCCTCATGCCTATAATCCTAGCTACTCAGGAAGCTGAGATCTGTGGATTGTAGTTCAAAGCCCACCCAAGCAGGAAAGCCCATAAGACTCTTCAGTTAAGCACCAGAAAAGCTGGAAGTGGCTCTAGTGGTAGAACATTACCCTTGAGCACAAAAGCTTTAGGCCAGCACCCAGGCCCCGAGTTCAAGCCCCAGGACCAGCAAAAAAAAAAAAATGCTAACAGACTTTCCTTACTGGGCTGGCCTTGAACTGTGATTCTTATCGCAACATCCTGAACAGCTAGAACTACAGGTGAGTATTACCAGTACCAGCATCAGGGCCCTTCTTAATGAGGGCTGGGCCTGCTCATCTACCTGAAGGTAAGAAGCCCATCCTGACATTTAGGGACCAATATCATATGAGGACCCCACTTCCTCAAGCTCTTCTCCTTCTCATCTTAGCCTTTCCCTTTCCTGGCTACAACTCCCATTATTCTTTTTTTCCTTTGTTTTGGTCGGTCGTGGGGCTTGAACTCTGGGCCTGGGCACTGTCCCTCAGCAATTCAGTTCAAGGTAAGTGCTCTACCACTTGAGCCACAGCACCACTTCCAGCTTTTTCTGCTTATGTGGTGCTGAGGAATTGAACCCAGGGCCTCATGCATGCAAGGCAAGCGCTCTACCATTGAGCCACCTTCCCAGCCCCAACTCCCATTATTCTTGTGCTTGAATCTGTCCCATTCAGGCACCACCTATCCTCCAAACTCATCTGCTCACCTCAGCAGGGCACAAGGAGTGGTGTGCCAGGCTGGGATGTGGTGGAGGGTAAGCTCGTGCTGCAGGGGGCCGCCGACGTACCAACTGAGGTCGTTCACCAGGTTCCAGTGGGCACTCAGGGGGCAGTTGGCCAGTCAGCTCCTGGAGAAGGCAGTGGGGATGAAATAAGCCATGATAATCCCAGGAGCTACAGAAGTTTTCCAAGAAGCCTGTCCCTGCTCAGAACCACACACATTATTTCTCTTCCTTCTGTCAAAGAACTCCAGCAGACAGGTAGGCAATATAGACTCTTAGCCTCTCAATAACCCAAGCTCCCACCCTCCCTTTTTGTTGGATGTGGGGCTTGAACTCAGGGCCTGGGCACTGTCTCTGATCTTTTATTCTCAAGGCTAGCACTCTACCACTTGAGCCACAGTGCCATTTCCAGTTTTCTGGTGGTTAATTGGAGATAAAAGTCATAGGGACTTTCCTGCCTGGGCTGGCTTTGAACCCCGATCCTCAGATCTCAGCCTCCTGAGTAGCTAGAATTACAGGTGTGAGCCACTGGTATCCAGCAGGAAAACGTCTTTTGGAATCCAGAAATTTTGTTTGTATTTTTTGAGACAAAGTCTTGTATAACCAGGATGGCCTTGAACTTGCTAGCCTCCTGCCTCAGCCTTCCAAGTGCTAGGATTACAGTCACACATCACAGCAGGTGCTGAGTCCAGAATTTTTTAGGTTTTTTTGTTTGTTTATTTTTTGGCCAATCCTGGAGCTTGAACTCAGGGCTAGGGCATTGTACCTGAACTTCTTTTACTCAAGACCTGCACTCTATCGTTTGAGTCACAGTGCCACTTCTGGTCTTTTCTATTTATGTGGTACTGAGTAATAGGACCCAGGGCTTCATGCATGCTAGGCAAGCACTCTACCACTAAGCCATATTCCCAGCCCTTTTTTAGTTTTTATAAAAGCAACACAGGCTTGGCACTGTTAGCTCATGCCTGTAATCCTATTCAGGAGGCTAAGATCTGAGGATCAAAGTTCAAAGCCAACCCAGGTAGGAAAATCCATAAGACTCATCTCCAATTAACCAGCAACAACCAGAGAAGTAGAGCTGTGGCTCAAATGGTAAAGCACTCAACTTGAGCAAAAAAACTTAGGGATAGTCCCCAGATCCTGAGTTCAGCTCCAGGACCAGCAAAAAAAACAACACAAGTCTACACGAAGTCTATATCTATACACTGCAAATCACGTAACATTCCTTCAAGCTCTGAGCTGCATGGGCTGAACCCCATTATTCTCCCAGGTAAACATTGTGGACATCCACACTAGGAGAACTATTTTGAAACTCCATGTTGGTTCAGAGTGGGGTTGGTTAACAAATTTTGGAAACCGTTTTTGTTAGGATCTAGAGGATTTTAAATAGTCATCAAGGGATTGTGGGCCTGCTTCATCCAATTATTACATTGATTCTAAGACCTTGAAGCCAAACTTCAAGGAGACACAGAGAGACCAAGGAACCTACAGGTCAGATAAATGACTCAGCAACCATCACAACAGTCTGTGGCTTACCTAGGGACCCTCATCCCCTACCACCAGACACCCCAGGAGCCAGGTCCTCACCGCTTCCTGGAGACACACTTTCCGGAGCTCCTGAAGTTTCAGGTTTAGTGCCTCTTGCAGGGCCCGCTGACGATCAAGCAGCCCCCGCAGACGCTCTGATTTCACCTGGGGAGCAGCCTCTCCAAACAGGGCAGCTGCACACAAAATATACAATGATCAGTGAGATCAGGACAATCTGGAGTAGCTGCGGGGCCAGGGACCAATTCTTCCCAAACAGGCAAGTAGAATCTCAGAGCAGGGGAGGAGGCAGCAAGAGGGGGAACCAATCACTGACCTGGGGTATTGAAGGTAGGAGAGCTGATCAGCTGACCTTTGACTTCCATCCTGGTGTTGTCAGGATGCCGTGGCTGATGGCTTGACAAGGCCTAGAAGTAATGTACAGGAGGCATTTAGCAGGCATGTCCCATGCTACCCTAGTCCCATCCCAACTCAGTTTCCCAGGCTTTTACAGCCCACCCCCAACCAGGGCTCAACCCTCCTGGCCTGGCCTGGCTTCTAAAAATTCTGTGTTGAAGCCAGGCGCTGGTGGCTCACGCCTGTAATCCTAGCTACTCAGGAGGCTGAGATCTGAGGATCTCGGTTCAAAGCCAGCCCAGGCAGGAGAGACCGTGAGACTCCTATCTCCAATAGACCACCAGAAAACCGGAAGTGGCACTGTAGCTCAAGTGGTAGAGCGCTCGCCTTGAGCTGAAGAGCTGAGGGACAGCGCCCAGGCCCAGAGTTCAAGCCCCACGACCGACCAAAAAAATAAAATAAAATAAAAATAAAAACTGATTCCTTAAAAATTCTGTGTTGATGCCTGGACCCACTTGACCCTGGTACCTTGGTTCCCTTCCCATTGAGTGGGAACACAGCAAGTGGGAAGCTGGGCGGACTTACAACGCCTCTTCAGAGGCCCATGGGCCACAGCCAGGAATCTTGCCTGGGAAGAGAGAATTAGTGGTACAGATTCAACCACGTATAACAACAGCTGGCACTTATTAATCACCTGGGTGCCTGGAACAGTTACCTGCTATGCCACAATGAATCTTCACAAGCCTCTGGGGACAGAAGTTGTGTGATTATTATTACCTACACCCCCTGTTTTTTAGAGATAATGAGAGGAAAGCACGTAAAGGTCAAACAACTTGCCTAGAGTCAGGGACATGGCCAAGTCTTATGCTCTTCTTCACTACAGCTCCTCAAACCCCACCAGCTTCATCATGAGCTCCCCAGTCCATTAGGCCTCAGGATCTTTGCCAAGACTGTGACTATCATTTGGAGTATTGATTTCAGCCACTCACTAACCCAGCCATGCTTCTCAGCCTTCTTCTACAGGTGGCCCCTGTATAATATCTTCTCACAACTGCTATTGGACAAGAGATTGTGCCTCTTCCTGTTCCACAATGAGGACAGGAAACATTCCTGTCCTGTTGTATCAATATCCTCTGCACCTTGAACACTGCTGCCCACACCAAGTGCCCTGTGATTGTTTGCTGGCTGACTGAACAAATGATCCAATGAACAAACTCAAAGGGAGCCAAACCAGGGTTCTAACCCAAATCTATGGGTCTTTACTCACCCTAACCTCATCCTGGAGTATTTACTTGACACCAGGGTCCCTCCAGCCCTTTTCCCCACCCTTCCTGGTCCTGAGACTAGACTGAGGAAGTCACTCTGCTGGGATTTGCGACAGGCAAAGTCCACAGCTCCAGATAACATGCCACCTGTCTCCCTCTCTGCCCCAGCAGTCCTGGCTGACCACAGAGTCAGCCCTGGCCAGCTGCCAGTCCTCCTTCGTCCTCTCCTCTGGAGTTTGCTCCCTCCCTCCCACATCCTGCTGGGTCCCCAGTTGGGCAGCCTGGTGACATCACCTCCTGCCACCTGGCCTAATCTTCATGGCAGGTGACTGGAAGAATCTCACAGGCATAGAGTTCCCATTCGGATCTGCCTGGAGACCCACAGTTTGTCCTGACATGGTAGCCAGGTGTGGGGAAGTCCCAGGCAAACAAAGAGGCCTCAGTTCAAGTCCCTTCCCCAACATGACGTGGTATGGCCCAGCAGTCTATAAGGTACCCTGTTTCTCTAAAGTCCTCTTACCCACCTCACAGGATCTGTAACCCTCCCTAGAAGCAACCATACCTTGTTCTAAACACCCTCTGCCCTCAACATGGGAAGAAGTCTCTAGAGCCCTGTTACAATCCAGGTACAGTGTGTACTTTACAATGGCCCTCATAAATCTACACATCTAAGACCCAATCAGCACTGCCCAGCATGGCAAGGTTTTCCTGAACATCCCCAGCTCAGCCTCCTCTGTCACCCAGCTTCCAGGGCTCTTAGTTTCCCAGGGCCCACTTGAGTGTGGGCAACTTTCATGGGGTTCTACTAAGCCCTCCTCTATTCACTCCTTCCACCAAGCCCGATTCCACTTCCCATACCACAGGCTGCCTCAATGCTTTCTCCTTAAAAGCTCAGAGCCTCCTTAGAAGCTGACCTGGGGTCCACACAGGAACCCCATCTCCACCCTGACGGCCTGACCTCAGGGACATAGCTAGAGCATGAGTCATGGGGTCACTGTGCAGGCTAGGCACAGGGTCACGCCCCACACCCCCACACCCGGCTCCTAAACCTTTGCCTCCGCATAGCGCTGCCCTAGGGCTTAGGACTGTCCCAACCCCAGCCAGAGATAGTGAGAAGAGAATCCCCACAATCTCCTCCCAATATACCCCTGCACTAATCCCTAGGGACCCCTGGGACACCCACCACCACCACCACCACCACGGTGACCTCATGGGTCTGTCTTGTCACCCTGTGCTGTCGCTGGGATAAGCAGCAGCAGGAGGGCTGAAGAGGGCCCCCCCACCCTGAGGCGAGCCCAGCAGGTTTTTCAGGTCTGCCTTTCTGACACCACAGCCGAGAAAGAAATTCCTGGCTGTAATGACTGTTTACAACCAAGACACCTCACCTGGGTGGCACCCCAACACTGTCAATGGGACCCCATTTCCACATCCTGCCACCACTGAAGCAAATATACACTCCCAAAGTTTAGATTGTTCCCCAGCCTCCCCAGGAGCCCCAGGTTCCATCACTCTAAGTGAACAAATGGGATAGAGGGCAGGCAGATGCCTGGAGAGTGTTACAATAGCCCAATCTTATCTTTGTCACAGGGGCTATTGCGGGGGGGGGGGGGGGGGGGCGGGGGGGGATCTACTCTGGCAAGAGAGGAAAGGAAAAGAAAAGTCAGGGGTAGGAGGGAGAAGGGGGACACATACGCCTCTTCTTCCCCATTCTTCCTCACCCATTTCTGGCAAAGAATTGCTTTGCGCCAAGAAAGGATATTGGACATTTTGGGCTTCACCCTTTTAGTCAGGTTCGCCTTCCATGCTGAACCCTACCCCCACCCCATGTTAATGGACTTCTCCCACAGCCCTGGCTCTCCCAAAGGGAACTTCAGTACACCCTACTGCAGCCCCAAGCCCCCATGCCCCACACCCCTAGGCCCACTGTTCCCAGGTACTCACCAGTGCCAGAGAGTGCTTTAAGGTAGCCTCAGGTACCTCAGAAGAAATAGTTGTCTCCACCAGGCCCTGGTTCTGAGGGCAGTGGCAGCAAGCAGCAGTGCCGGATGCCTTGGCCACCTCCCACTAGGTAATGGCCCAGCCTACCTGCCCAGGAACTGGGCTGTCCTACACCTTTTAACCCTTGCCTGTCTACCACTAGGACTACAGGTACCCCTGGGTGGGGGGCGGCCTCAGGGCCAAATCCCTTTAGGGCGTCCAGCATGACCAAGAAGCTACTTTAACCCAGATACTTAATAAAGAACTGAAGCCATGGGCATAGCTGCTGCCTCTCTGGCTGTTCAGATTTATAGAGGACCAGAGTCTGCCGGCCCAAGCTAACATCTTGGGGCTGGGGGCTAGAAAACCATAAAGCACACAGAGGCCCCAAATGTAAATTGCATTTGTACTTTTCAGCAGAGAATATTACATTCCTAAGGCCCCTATGGCACCCTAGCCTTCCTTCCTAGGGGTAGGTAGAAGAGAAGGTTTGAGGATCAGACCCCAGTAACACACTCATAATTCTAGGCACTCCAGAGGCTGAGATCCAGAGAATCACAATTTTAAGTTAGGTCAAGCAGGAAAGTCCATAAGACTCTTATCTCCAGCAAAAAGCCAGAAGTAGAGCTGTGGCTCAAGTGGTAGAGCACTAGCTTTGAGCAAAAAGAAAAGATCAGGGACAGCGCTCAGACCCTAAGTGTTTAAGTGTCAGAACAGGCACACACACACACACACACACACACACACACACACACACACACACACACACACACACACACACACACACACACACACACACACACACAGGAGTGGGCAGGGGAGGTTTTGAAGAACAATTCCCCCTATTACTAGGATAATAGTTTTCCTAGTTAGTAATAGAGGAAGTGGACCTTTCTAAGGAGAGGCTAGGTCTCAAGAATCTACCACAAGCCGGGCGCTGGTGGCTCACGCCTGTAATCCTAGCTACTCAGGAGGCTGAGATCTGAGGATCGCGGTTCAAAGCCAGCCCGGGCAGGAGAGACCGTGAGACTCCTATCTCCAATAAACCACCAGAAAACCGGAAGTGGCGCTGTAGCTCAAGTGGTAGAGCGCTCGCCTTGAGCTGAAGAGCTGAGGGACAGCGCCCAGGCCCAGAGTTCAAGCCCCACAACTGACAAAAAAAAAAAAAAAAAGAATCTACCACATTCCACAGCTCCAGAAGAAATAATCCTAGTAAACAGAACACAATTTATGCCCTACAAACTTGAGGACTGGCATAGAGCCAGCCTCCTCAGAGCCACTTTACAGGTAAAGAGGCCTGATTGAGATCAAGCCACCATAAAAGTGAATAAAAGCATAACTTAGGGACTGGGTACAGGGTCGAAGACAGACAAGCTACTTCCCAAAGGAAGGAAGAGAAAGGAGGTTCATGTTTCTTTATATCCTAGCTTGCTCCCACCCATTCCTTCCCCTCACCATTTCAGGTCAAGAGGCAGGCTGTATGCTAGACAAGGACTTAAGGGCTCCAAGACCCTGGGATGTACTGGTCCCCACAGCTGCACCTGAGCTCTGGGCTTCTCCCTGCACACACCACACCCCCTGTGCCCCACAAGAGACCATCTGCTCTGTGACCTCAGGGCCAAGCCTAACCCAAGCCTCAGCAGCAGTCCCTGCCATGCCAGGGACAGGCGGAGTGTGAGAAATGTTTCCTCCCAATTTGGCAGGTGAGCCAAGCCTCTAGAGAAGAGCTCCCTCTGTCACAAGCTATTAGGGCCTCTGGCCATCCCTGCCCACCTTTCTTCCTGGGTGTGAGATTTCCGGTGTGTGACACAAAGGACCCTTTCATTGCCTTTCCTACCCCCCTCTTCCCCCTTCAGTGCCTGCACTGAATTGTGCAGGTAGACATCTAGCTGTATGTGGGTGGGGTATGTCTTCGTGGCCATGACCTCTCCCACCTCTTGTGGGCCACCAAAAATGGTGTGAAGAGGGGAGTTAACCAAAATCAGGACCAAGAGGAACAATGCAGCTTGAGTTTCAAAGCCTAGATTCCCTCATCTATAGATGGGCAAAAGGTGGTTTCCAGAGGCCAAAGGAATTTTGGAAGAAGTTTCAGAGTGCAAGGAAATGTACATCATCAGTGACAGATAACAATAGTAAACTCACAGAGGTGGGATAGTGTGAGGGCAAGTAGGAGAGAGTAGACTCTAGACCTCTTGGGCCAGGCAGACAACTGAGCCAGGGTCACTCACATACATAATTGTCTTGGTCTGTGATTTGTTCTCTATGTGCCAGTTCTGGGATTTGAATTCAAGACCAGTTCAATGTCCCTGAGCTTTTTTGCTCAAGGCTGGCCCTCTACCACTTGAGCCACACCTATACTTCCCAGCTTTTTGATGAGAAGCCATGG